GTAGAGTACATCTCCATTATAAAGACAGGGCATCAAGTGGAGAGATGGGGTTGCCATCCCACAGTCACAAATTCTGACCCAGAATTGTTCCTGTCTAAAGGAACTGCAGGAGCAAAAATGGAGAAGAAAAGGAGGTTCAGTGACTGGCCGAAATTGGAATCCAGCTTATGGAAAGACTTCAAAGCCTAATACTTTTACTGATGGTATAGTGTGCTTACAAACAGGAGCCTAGCATGGCTGCCCTCCAAGAGGCCCAACAAGAAGCTGAAAGAGTCAGATGCAGATACTTACAACCAACCAAAAGATAGAAGGCAGGGACCCCTGTGATTGAAATAGGGAAAAGCTGGAAGAAGCTGAGGAGGATGGTGATCCCATAGGAAGACCAGCAGTCTCAACTAAACTGGACCCCAGAGATCTCTCAGACACTGAGGCACCAACCAGTCGTCATACACAAGCTGATATGAGGCCCTTAACACATATACAGCAGAAGACTACTTGGTCTGGCCTCAATGAGAGAAGATCCACCTAACCTTCGATAGACTTGAGGCCCCATGGAATGGAGAGTTCTGGTGAGGTGGAGTTGGGGGTGGGAGAGGAGGAATGGGATGAGGAACAGTTGGAGGGCTGACCTGGAGGGGGATAACAACTGTACTGTAAAAAAAAAAGATTAAAGATTTATAATTAAAAAAAACAATCATAACTGGGATACAGATTTAAAAGAAAAAGTGTTGTGAAAAGATGAAACATAAATGGTTTAGAAACAAAGAAATGTTCAATATATTAGTCATTAGGGGAATGCAAATCAAAACTACTGAGATTTCATCTTACACCAATAAGAATGGCCATGATCAGTAAACAAATGGCAGGTCATGTTAATGAGTATATGTGGTAAGGAGAACACTCATCCATTGTTGATGAGAATGAAGACATGTACAGCTACTATGGAAATGAGTGGGTTGGTTCTTCAGGAGGCTGGGAATAGATCTACTTTAAGGTCCATCTGTACTTCTTTTGGGCATATACCCAAAGGATTCTACATCTTACCACAAAGGCAGTTGCTCAACCACATCTTCTGATGCTTAATTGACAATAACCAGAAATGAGAAACAGTCCAGACATCTGTCAGTGGATCACTGTATAAAGAAAATGTGTCATATTTACACAATGGAATATTACTCCACTATGTAAAAGTAAAATCATGAAATGCACAGGTAAATGGATGGAGCTAGAAAAATAATTATCTCTAGTGAAGTAACTGAACCCCAAAAGACAATTTTTTTATATATATGCACATAAGTATAAAGTAAGAGATAAGGGCAAAGGAAGGGATGGATTTCACGAAGAATGGGAAATAAAGTGTATAGTTATGAGATGAATGAAGGTGAGAGAGACTGGAACAGGAAGATTAAACAGAGAGAGGGAGGAAAGTGTGAGTAAGAGATGGAATATGGGGAAGGACAGCTAAGGGTCATTTGAGGAGTTTTAAGCAAACCTATTTCAGTAGAGTGTGTGTGTGTGTGTGTGTGTGTGTGTGTGTGTGTGTGTGTCTGTCTGTCTGTCTGTCTGTCTGTCTGTGAAAATCTAAATGGAGTCCATCAAATAATGCAAGATGACAAAACCCCAACTAGATAACCCTCATAACCAAATAAAACTCATTTCAGTGCCAGAAATGGGTTATGTCTAATTGAACTATTGCCCAAATGGGCCTCATAGAAACCCCAAACACCCAAAGCTAGTACAAAGACTTTTGTTGCTCTCCACAAACTGATGGTAAGGCCCTATTGCTGAATACAACACCCACATAACTCGCTGAACAGGAAGAAGTTGGGTTGGTGCCACTCAGAGCCTTAACCCCTACTGACTAGAGTTTATTGTACTGGTACCTACAGCCCACCAGAGAAAAAAAGCAATAACTCAACTACAAATCCTTTAACCTACAATGATGATTTACCTGCATGATATGCTGATACAAGAGTGGCACAAAAATTGTGGAGGTAACCAACCAATGTCTAAACGGATTTAAGGCCCACTCTATGAGATGGAAGACTTGATAAGCCTAGGGGAAAACCAAGTATTATTTTTCTGCTAAAGGAACGTAGCAATAAAATGACTACTAACATCATTCTACTAAACTCAATGATCAGTGTCATCACATTTGCTCAGCCATCATTATTGAAGCTTCCTCCTGCAGTACATGGAAACAAATATAGAGACCTATGACTAGATAATATGCAGTTTTGAGAGATTTCAGAATAGTAAGTCCTAAATGGGATGTCTCTATCAAATTTCTCCCTGCTGGGCTCAGGGAACTGTGTGGAAAAGAAGGGGAAAGACTTTTAAGAGCCAGTAAAAACCACCAATGAAACAAGGCCTTTTAAATCCAACAGTATTGAAACAGATATGAATGTTCAGAGTATGGCAGCATGAACAGTTCTAAGCCAGAAAGGCTTATGTGTGTGCAAATGTGTGTCTTTCTCGATCTGTGTTTCTTATGCCTTTTCTTTGGCTCCTTTTCTTTTCTTTGTTTATTCATTTGTTTTGTCCTCTTCATTGCCTATTTTTTATTTTATTTTTAATGTCTGTTATTTTCTAATGAGAGAAAGAAAGGGAAGGTGTGAATTTGCATAGACGGTGATGTGGAAAGGAGATGGGAGAAGTTGGGAGAGGTGAACTATGATCAGAAAATAGTGTATAAAATATATTTTCAATTAAAACAGAAACATCTTAAAAAGTTTTACATTTCTGTTAATTTCACTCATGTACCCGAGTCCTGTTCATCTCCCCATTCCTCCATACCTACCCTCTGCCTTTGTAATATTTCCCCCAAAAGAAAATAAAAACAATGAAAAAGAAAAAAAAAGAAATGAAAAATAAAATAAAACAATTCTCGCTGTGGAAGCTATGGTGTATCATGGTGTATCACACAGTATACCTTTTGACCATACAGCTTTGCTTGCCAATGTTCATTCCAATGAGTCATTGATGAGGCTTGAGGCCTCTGGCTCCCGCTACACTATCAACTCCCACTGGGGTTCTTCTCAGATATCTTGTTGTTCTGTGTCATGGAGATTCTGCTGCTTTGGTTTGGCAGAAGCAGCCCCTTCGTGCATTCCAGCAGTTCATAACTGGGGTATAAACTGGGGTGAGCCAATTCAAAGGCCTGGATCTGAGCCTGGGTGGTAGCTGGCTGTGTTGCTTAGCCCACCAGCTTTCTGTACCAGAGCCTCCAGGGTCAGCTCTTCCACTTGGCCCAAGCGAGGGACAGTACCAGGTCTCCTGCTTGTGCAGGCCAGCAGGAAGCAGAATGGGCTATCCTGAACTCTTTCTCTCAGTGGGGTTCAACCATACCCATGCTACTAGGGCCAACTCTACTGTACTGCTCAGGTGAGATGAAGACCTGCTCTCATGAGTGTTATACCTGGTAAGGGCAGGGCTAACTTTAGATCAAGATGTTTCCAGGAGGCAGTCCAGATCAGGATGTCCACATGGCCTTTGGTGGTAGGTAACATGGGACACAGACATGGAACATCAACACAGACATCTGCTACTGAAGGGCCAGACACAGATTCAGACATGGCTCTCAGTGACAGCACAGGCCTGGACCACACCAAGGCCTCAGGTGGCAGGGCAGGCTACTCACATCAGGCTAATGCTCACCAACTTTCACTTCTCTAGTTCTGTCTCTCTTCATAGCGCACACACTTTTCCCGTCTCATTCTCTCCCATCTTTTGACCACATACTTGCTTATCATATGTGGTATGATGGTGGCATGACTCCAGGTCTCATAAATCTTTAAAAATTAAGATCAAAATAAAAAGAACAAAGCAGAGCTTTCACTAGTGGAAACTTTAACTGCTAAAGACATTTTTAACATGTCAAATTGGTAGAGAACAGTTAATTTAATAATATTCATTGATCTGTGAAGTTGCTTTGAGAAAACATGGTTTATTTAGATTTGTGCAAATTATAAAAAGGTACTAAATATCTATGTAAGAATAACAAGGAAATAACCAGATATAAACGCTTGGTATTCAAGAGAGATATATGAGCCAAGAATAAGGAAGATTCTCTAAAATTTCAACTTACAGAGGCCTCTACAGTCTTTGGACCAGATACACTGCCACTTGAGGAATAACACAGACAGTGAGAACCATCAACCATAACTTAGGATGTGATGCAGGTTGGAAGATCATGGGGACCTGACCAGGGCTTCTGAAGCTTTCTGTCAGTTCTGTGGCTTGGTGCCTTGTATATGTGAAGGACAAGACTTACTTCTAGAAGCTTCTGTCACTATTTTTAAAGAGACTGGGGTAGAGGAAGGGAAGGGATGGAGCAAATATAACCCAGTTTTCTAGTGCTGTATTAGGTAATGAAATTGAGCTTAACTTCAAAATCTTCAGATGGATGGACTGATCTGAACTCTGGGAGTATCATAGTGAGTGAGGAGAGGCCCATATCCCCTGTGTAAATTCTTCCAGTGGTTGCAATTGTCCTCAGGATATAGTCTGAGCTCTTCCTTACACATTCAAATCCTCAACAGAGCTTCTACCTTCTTTTATATTTCAGTCCACCTCTCCTCCATATTCCTCACTCTGATCCTGCCACAGTGAGCTTCACTGCCAAATGGTCCTCTTCTATTCCCTATACCAAATATTTTTACATTTTTCAGATCTGAAATGAAAATGTCTTTTTTACCAGCTCCCATTAAATGAGAATGTGGTTTTTTTTAACCTGCTCCCATTTTATATGGCTATTTACCAAGTCTTAGTAAACACTGCTTTTTCCAAGAAGGATGGCTGTGTCTTATCTTGCTTTTTAGGATACAATGTGTCAATCTAGACAGCATAGTTTGTGCTTTAAACATTTTTGGGGGGAGGGAGGTGATGGGATGCTATGACTTAGCTAAAGAACCTTTGGACTTTGGCAAGAGCAGCCAAGGACAGGCAGGCAGTTTGACTTTAACCAGCAGTGGGCAAAGGTGAGCCAGCTGGCCAGTCATAGAATCTTGGGGGAGAGTATTATGACGTCATAGAAGAGCTGAGAGTTTAGAGGGGAGGGAAGCAGAGCACTTGGGTCAGAAGACTTTGGCTTCTGATAGTCATGGACTCACTAGACTGCTGAGGAAGATCCAGCATCTATCTATCTGCTGAAAACATCCAGGAAACTACTTTTAACACCGGGAAACAAGAATGGAAGTAGTGAACTAAGAAGAGCCTGAGGAAGAATTGTATTGCCAGATCAGGTAACACATAAGCCTTGTCTTTTTCAGTCTTCTCTCTCTGGCTTGTTCCTTTACTCATCACTTAATGAGGCCTACATAATGCTATACAGTATGTCAGGTATTAGAATAGTAGCAAGATGAGAATATCTGTGCTGATTAAAGAGAGAAACAGAAAATCAACTGTGGAAGTACTGTTATAAAATGCTAACAGGTTGACATTTGGAGAAGGAACTTTAAGAAAACATATGAACTTAGCTGATGGGCCAAGGAAGTTTATTTGAGTGGCACTTATATAGAGCCTCAGGTTTGAATAGTATTTAGTGAGTGGTTAAGGTTGAGACTGGAGAGAGATTCTTAAGAATGGAAAGCCGTTCAAAGACCCTAAAAGGATGCAGGCAGATTTCAGTAGCCATCTCTTCTGAGCTAGCCTATGAAGCATGAGAGAACAGTAGCCATAAGTGAGAGAGGATGCCCAGAGAGGGCAACCCGACCAGGGCCTTAATGAACTTGGATTTAGGTAAATCTTCACTGAAGCAGAATAGCAGAAAGACTTAGAAAGTAGCCCTGGACCTACACCTTGGGGTTAAGACAGTGGGCAGACTTCTGGGGCAGCTAGTGAGCAGCTGCCTTAAGAAGAGAAGCGATGGAATTAGGAAGAGGCTTGTTCTGAAAGGAAGCATCAGGTAGTAGTAAGGTTTTACATGTAGGTGGCTTCAAGAGGGTTAACTATACCTGCATAAAAGGAGAAGTACCCCTCTGGAGGGGACAAGAGCAATCTCAATCCAACTACAGTATAACAGTCGACAAGATGATGGCAGCAGATCCAGTTTGGGATGGACTTGTATCCAGTGCGTTAAGACTGCTCAGGGATTTGTCATTGTCTTCCCTATGTTGTAGTGGACTAGATTAACTCCTAGCCTGTTTGCCACCTCTACTACTAGGGATTTAGTCCTCTGTACTCACTGCCTAAGGCTTCATGAGCTCCAGAAAAAAATGTACTTTGTACAGGATTACTTCCCTCAACCACACAGACACACTCACACAGTCACATATCCATTCACACACACACACACACACACACAGAGAGAGAGAGAGAGAGAGAGAGAGAGAAAGAGAGAGAGAGAGAGAGATTTTCTGTGAAATATCTTTAAGTCAAGATGGTAGAGACCTAGATACTCCTCACTCTTTCCTGGCTGCCCTCCTGTCTACTGCTATGCTGATGTGTCTGGCATTTTCTGTTTGTCTCCTCATTGCTGACCTCAATCCCAGGCAAGTCTGGGCAGTGCTAGGCAGATCTGCCAGCTCAGCCCCTTTGTGACATCTCTTGTCCAAGGAGGGATTGGATAACTTAACCCACCCTTACCCCTTAGTAACTGGTAGGCTTAGTTAGAAGAGAACTAAAACTCTGTCCCCAAGTCACACCCTTTACAAATAAAAACAGTCCTGACAGTTCAGCTTCATCACTGAGAAACTCAGGAGTGTGAAGGGCTAATATCCAGTAAGTTTTCTCCCTTCAACATTTCTGTCCCTGCTGCTACTATGGTCCAGGGGATTTAGAGAATCCTTGGACCTATGAAAGTCCTCTCTGATCCAGGAATACAGAAGATTCTCCTTTGATGTCAGGGGCTTTCTTCCTACATGGAAAGCTCATACTAAGGATCACAAAGTTGAGTAGAGAGAGAACAGGTGGGACTGAGCAATTAGCTTGTCAGTCAGAAAGTCACTGTCTTCACAGGGTGGAGGTATCAGCCACACCTAGGCTCATTGGGACCCAGTTTGTCAAGTGTAAACTGGATTTAGATCAAACTCCCAGATGGAAAAGGAATGAGTCTAAGAACCTGACACCTATCCTCCAGGACAGCCAAGGCCTAGTGTCTGCTATGACATCATAAAGAGTGATTCTTAGGGTAATATAGGTCATCTTACAGGTGTCTTTAGTAACCATCAAATTCAAGAACTCTGCACACTTCCAGGGCTTTCTGCCTAGGTAACAGGTACTCTCCAGTAAAAACAATTTGTAGTTTCTTTCCGTATGAGTCCCTGAATCTTCTGGACAACAGAACAAGAAGATCGGCTAAGTGTTAGGGAAATGAAGGATGGGATACAGGTGGAAGGGTCCACTCTAGGAGACCAAGACCTTAAGCAGAGAAGTTAACATTAGAGGAGGTCTTTACCCAGGTCTCAACTGAAGACCCTAATGAGAAACTAATTAATCTCAACATGATCCAGCTCACAGGCACTGTCACAAACCTCAAGCTAATTCCCTTGTATCATGATGCAAACATGAACACACACACACACATTCATGCACACACATTCATGCACACACACACACACACACACACACGTAAATATGCATGTATACAAACACATCAATATTTGGCTGCATTTTAAAAGTTTGCACCTGAGATTGTTTTGAAAAAATCCCTATGAGTGCCACAGGTTGGGAGGGTAGCTGAATGTCCACTTAGGCAGTCACTGCTCCAACAACTTCTCCCTCCACCTGGGTGACAGGGCTCTGACAGGCCTGGTACCTACCCAACATAGATTTGTGGTCATCTGAACTGAGTATATATTAAGGGTATACAAAAACATTTTGATTACTTAGATATCTCCTTTCCAGTTACATAACAACCCTGGTCTCTCTGCCTTTGAATTCTTAGTCTCTTTTTGATCTGAACTGAAACAAATTTTTTTTGAGATTTCACTATTTACCAAAGAATAAAATCATTGTAAAAGTTTTGAATGGTTTTGTTTGAGGTCTCTTCAAGGTCAAGTTCCCTTAATGCTGCTTCCTTAGAGAAGAGACAATAGCTAGGAGATGTGAATGGAGCTGCTTCAGCCTATGGCTTATAGAGCGAGACCTTGCACTGCTATTAGCGCTTGTAGTGCCTGGGGCACTGATTTATCACTGTCTTCTTGCTGACAGTAGCCAGTGGCACTTAATGGCCTATGTTTCAAGGATCATGGATTGATCTGGTACATTCAGAAAGGGAATGAGAGTTGGTGGCTCTGAGAATCCTATTGTACCTATGTTCCTGGAAACCACATTTAGACCTGAATAAACACATGATCTGGGGTAAGATGGAACCTGTTTTGAATCTATTTACAAACCATTGAAGTAGATGTCTGAACTTCAGTCGCCTTCATATTTAAAGTAGTGAATAAGATGCTCACCTTTTACATTGCAGTAATCATCATTAGATGAGACAGAACTTATGACGTGACTCAAAATCATCCTAAAGGTCTCTTTACTGTTGACTAAGAATCTTGAAGCAAATTTACCACATATTCATCACTTTATATTCTTTATCTGAAAAATGACAAGTAAGGAGCAGACAAATACCTGTGACGGCATGGATTGCAGGCACTAGCTGTGGTTCTGAGAAGGGCAGTCCTACTTAACCAAATTTCACCTGGACATTTAGATACATTTGGAGAACAAAGAAGGTGATGATGAAAGCAGACTTCCAGACAGTCACTTGAATATTCTTTTTTTCCTAGGAACTCCAACTCTTAAAGAAGATGAGCGAACCATCCAAAACCAACCAGTGCTCCCCTCCTCCATGCTGCCCACCAAAACCATGTTGCCCACCCAAACCATGCTGTCCGCAGAAACCTTGCTGTCCCAAGTCCCCATGCTGCCCACCCAAATCCCCATGTTGCCCACCAAAGCCCTGTCCCTGTCCGGCCCCCTGTCCTTGTCCAGCCACCTGCCCTTGTCCGCTGAAACCACCATGCTGCCCGCAGAAGTGTTCGTGCTGCCCCAAAAAGTGTACCTGCTGCCCACCGCCTCCATGCTGCGCTCAACCCACCTGCTGCTCTTCGGAGAACAAGACTGAGTCAGATTCTGATACATCTGGCCAAAGTCAGGATAGGGGCGCTCAAACCCAGTCCCCTCAAGGTGCTGGCAATTGGAACCAGAAGAAGTCAAAGTAGACTGTCCCTGACACCATGCCCTTCCTCAAAGGGTCAGGCTAAGACTATGTTGTAAAGATGCTGTTTCCACAATAATCATCAAGTCCACTCAACCATAAGCTACCATTTCGACCTAACCATAGGTTACTATTGTAACTGGAAATGGAAGGTAGAAAAGGATAGAAACATCTTGTCTAGTGATCCTGACATTTAGATAGCAAAGAAATAAAAGAGCAAATGAAAAGAACATTGTCTCCCTCTCTCATTTACATGTGAAGCTGTCTCACCAGTTTAGCCTAATGCAGTAAGCTGAGTACATTCTAAGAGCTGTAGAGACAGAAAACTTTTGCCCAAGGCACAGGCCTTTGTTGAAAAGAATAAGGCATACTTTTCCTGGGTTTTGGTTGGTTAATTTTTTGCTGTGTTCTGCTCAGTTCAAAGGAACTTATTCAAGTTAAAATTCTACCACAGCTATATTCCCAACTCCTGACTTGCTTTTAAAATGAAAGTCCTGTATCACAGGGACCCCTTCATTCCTAGGTAAAGGGATGGAATCTCAGTTCTCTGGAGAACATTTGATTCTTGATGAAACTAACCTCCATGATGTCTCTGAGATGACTTCAGGGCCCTATCATGCTTTGGCAGCATCAAAGGCAGAGGACTCAGCAAAATTAATGTTGGCAATGCCAGGTGTCACGCTGACTCTGGGGCAGAACAAGCTGCTGTATGTCTCCTGGATCTGTTCCACACTTCAAAAGAGTTTATAGCATAAAAGGGATGATTCATTTAAATATGAAACAGAGGGTCCAACAGGTCCATCTCTTCTCCCACTTCCTGATGCCAGATTCCTGCTTAACTCTAATCACTGTGTTAAAGCAATTTGCTCGCAGACACGTATCCATTCATCTGGGTGAACAGGTAGGATAGAAAGTCATCAATATACTCCTAAAAGTCCATCTTTGCTGCTTTTGTGAGCAGGGGCAGGGTATAAACCTTTCCTAAAGCCTTCACTTGGCACTTGCTCCTCTGTGCTTCTCCTTGCCTTGAAAGATCTAATTTTGTGCCTTTAACTTTGAATTTTTAATTTTTTTTCATAAAATTCTTTAATGTTAAGAAAGTTATTTCTTCAAACTATATCTCCTCAATGCCCCTGAGCATCACATGTGAAGAAGCCCAAACTAAAATATGTACATATCTACACTGGACACAAGTTAGGCTCCTTGGTCTTATGGAAATTAAGTGCATTTATTGGTAATTATATACTCATGAGGAACAAAATACTTCCCACTTTGTTTAAACTGTGTAAACCAACAAAAAAATGGGACAGGATATTTCAGTAATTTCTCAAGTGGCTGACAATGTTTGGGTCAAGTGGTTCTTGAGAATATAGGCTGAGTGGGTGAAATTTTAACGACAGTGAAAATAAAATGTAAATATATACAACCACACTTCTCCATGTTGCAAAGAGCAAAAGAAACAAATGGAAGTGGATAGATGGAGATTATCATGCTATGTAGAATACGCCAAACTCAGATGAACATCACAGGGTCTTAAATACACAGAGCATGAAAGCTGTAGGTGACTATTTGAATTAAGGGAATAGATAGTAGAAGGGGAAACAAAGAAAGCAAAAATGGTAGGGTGAATATGAACAAAATGCTACAAATCTGTGAAGATTATTAAATCATATACTGAAAATTATTTTCAGTCCTCCAAGTTCTCCCCATTGCAGGGTTTAAGAAAGTCAAAAATCCATATGTCCATTTAGCAGCCCAGTTGTTTACCATACTGGTGTGAGTGTTGCCTTCCTTATAGTTCAGTATGCAAGACGGCCTCTTGCAGGGAAGGAGATAGTGGGTTCCAGGACTTTCCACCATGCCCAAGATGATAAGAGGGAGAGGACACCTTGGCAGAACTGACCACAGGATCTGGTACTATGAAGGAACAGCAGAAGAAAGCCTTGTACTACTTATTCCCTACTGGGGTTTGGCCACAGCTAGGAAGGCTCCATTCCTCACTCCAGATTTCAAATGCCACTCACCCTGACATACAGAATAGCCTTCCTTACCCAGTTCACACTCAACATAGCAGTCTCTCCTCCAAGCCAAATCAATGTGTATTCTATGTGCTCAATTTGGGTCATTTCCTACAAGTATTCCAATATTCAAGTGCATATCAAATTGTTCATGTCCTTTTTATTCCTGATTAGAAAATTCATCAAAGCATATATACTCTCTGGTTGATGGATGTTTGGCTGTTACAAAACTCTTATGAATCTGGGAACAGGTATTTCTGTAGTGGAGTCTGAAAAACTTAAGGAAGGAAATAATTATTTCTGCTTACAGTTATAGGTTACAGTCTATCTTGGTGGAGAAGTCACAGATGCAGGACCATACAACAATACAACATCTTGTTATACTGTCTTTGTAGACAGGAAAGAGAGTGGGACATGAGAGCTAGGACTCAGCTCACTTTCTTCTTTTCATTCAGCCTGTGGAAGGGTACTAACAAACATTTAAGGTAAGTCTATCCCCTCAATAAACTCAATCTAGACACATGCAGAAGCTTTTTCCTAGGTCATTTGATTCTTTTGAGTTTACAATCAAGATTAATCCTAATAGATTGCCTCTCTCAAGATCACCAAGTTGCGTGTTCCCTAACACAAAAGACATTCATAGTCTTATCTTTTAAAATATTTAATAGTATGTGTATTCAATGGTACATAATGTGATCACCTTATATTTCATGTACATTGTGAAATGATTGCCAAGTTCAAATTAACACCTCCATCACCACCCTTCCTGTGCCTGAAATATTCAGTGCTTACTCATAACTAGAATTTTACGGTGGTTGATCAATATCTTGTTTCTCCTATTGACTGAAGATTTAACTTTCTTAGGTTCTACTTATACCTACAGCATTCTTTTTCACCATCTGCCTCCCCTTGCCACTTCAAACAATGGTTTGAGGTCTAGGACACTCCATCCATCTACCTGCAGTGTTTCCTAACTCACAGCCTGTTATTTTAGTTTCTCCCAGTTCCACTGACTTCCTTCACATTTCCCTGACCACTTACCAGTAGGGATAGTCTTCCAGCCTCTTTCTTCTTTTGTTACTATTCATTCCTTTGCTTATTTTATCTTAGATAACGAGTTTAAATATCATTTTCAGTCTATATCACAAACCTCTTTCTGAACTCAAGGTTTGTATCTCTCAAGTGCCATGTGGTGGCTATCTGAGTTTCAAACGGGAGTCTCATACCTGTCCTGTTTCAGAGCTCACAGCTGAGCTTTCTCAGGAAGCCATTGCTTCTATAGTCTCTTTGGCTCTGTTAACCATGGCTCTATCCTATTACATAGGACTAAAATGTTTGAATCATTTTTGGCTTCCCACTTAGGTCTCACCTGTTTCTTCTGTTGTTAAAAATCACCTGTAATCTGACTACTTATTTCTCTATTGATACCAACCTACTTCTGAGATATTGATAAAATCATACAGTTGCCTCTTACAGCTCCAATTGATTCTATTCCTGCCAGAAAGATATTTTCAAAATTATGTCAGAGGGTGTCACTGCCATGTTGTTTTTCATTTCAATCACTTCAAAAGCCAAAGCTGTTGCATGATTTTCCCTTCATAATACACCTCCACTCACTCCACCAACCTTATCCTGTTCACACATGCCCAGTCACATTAGCCTTCTTGCTGTTTCCAGAAGACTTTTGTCTAACATTGTTAGCTGCACTATCTCATGCTCCTCCTCCATTTCAACTGGTGCTGACTTTCTTTTCTTCAGGTTCTTGGTGTGACTATTTTGTTTAAAGTCTCTCCTTATCCCTTAGACTTCATAAGCTTTTCTTGCCATGTTTTTCTACATAGAATGTAATAACATATGCTATAAATACCTGGACTTGTTTTACATATTGCTGATATCCCACATGGAATGAAACCTTTCACACAGTAGAAATGTTTCCCTGTTTCGTTTAATGCTGGACCACTATGGTCTAGAATACTAGATCAAAAATGCCATCAGTAAATAGCAGTTAATAAAATCCAATCACTAGGCAGAAGTTGAAAAAGGTATTTCCAGGGGAAAGAATAGGAGTAGAAAGGTGCAGAAGTAAACAAAGGCAAAAATAAAGGCTTATCCCAGGCTTGCCTTGCCTCCTAGTACCCCTCTTGAGTCTTTGTGTTATCTTTTGTGAGCCAAGGAGTCATCCCCTTAGCATTTTCAGTGTAGTAGGGCATATTTCAGGGGTGACTGGGCCTGAGATTCCTGGCAGAAATGCTAGGGTGGGATGAGGGGAGAGTGAAGTTGGAGCAGAGCAAGCAAATACTTTGTCTGAGGGAAGAAGTTTGATTCACTGCACCCTATAGCACCCTGACCTCTGTCTTCCCCATGCCTTCTTCACTCTGCATGGGTTTTCTAGCAAAACAGGAATAGTGGGAAAATAGCCCTTTAGCTGCTCCAGCACTTTCCATCTTGCCTGCAATGTGGCCAGTAGTTCTGCTTTATTCTATGGCAGCCCTAGGTACCTTTCCAAACAGACTCAATCGCATTTAATAACATCTCTGCTTCAGGAATGGAAACAGTGACCTGGGAACAGAAATCAAAACTTGACTCACTTTGCTAGTGGTGAGGCTGCTGGCAAGAGAGGTCAGGTGCTGTGGAATCTGGGCTCCTCCTCTGTAATACTGAAGGGATTAAAAGATATTGAACGAGAGTGAATGAGATAAACAGGATTGGAGGATTTATTTCCTGTAAATGCCCCTGAGGGATACTTTCACAGCTCTGGGTCTGTTTGATGTAAAGCATACATGGTCCAGATTACTTCCTCGGTGTGGAATTGAGTGACAATTCTCTCTGCTAATAAGCCTGTCTATTTATTAGGCAAGAAGTTTCCTGAGATAGGTCTGTTGTAAAACAGGCTTCTTGAAGCCAAAGACTGTATCCCTCTGTTAGACTGGAAGACAGACCAGGGCCCTCAGCTTCCTGGCATACATAAGATTCAGGGACCTGTAACCTCTCCACTGAGTGACCTGGTTTAAAGAGTGTGTAAATGAGCGGGGGAGGAAGGTCGATAAGCAGGATTGATTTGTTGCCCTGAATGAGCACGACTCATCTGGAGACCAAAAGTTTTATATGGCTTCATGACAAATCTCTACAAATACAGAGAACAAATGGATGGGGTCAGGAAAGGGCCATACTGAGGAATGTTCTATCAGAAGTTCACCAGGACCA